CACTATAACAGGTTCATTATAACAGGTTCACTATAACAGGTTCAATTTAACATGTTCATTATAACAGGTTCACTATAACAGGTTCACTATAACAGGTTCACTTCAACATGTTCACTATAACAGGTTCACTATAACAGGTTCAATTTAACATGTTCATTATAACAGGTTCACTATAACATGTTCATTATAACAGGTTCACTATAACAGGTTCACTATAACAGGTTCACTATAACAGGTTCACTATAACAGGTTCACTATAACAGGTTCAATTTAACATGTTCATTATAACAGGTTCACTATAACAGGTTCACTATAACAGGTTCACTTCAACATGTTCACTATAACAGGTTCAATTTAATATGTTCATAATAACAGGTTCGCTATAACATGTTCATAATAACATGTTCACTATAACAGGTTCACTATAACAGGTTCAATTTAACATGTTCATTATAACAGGTTCGCTATAACATGTTCACTGTAACAGGTTCACTATAACAGGTTCAATTTAACATGTTCATTATAACAGGTTCACTATAACAGGTTCATTATAACAGGTCGCTATAACATGTTCACTATAACAGGATCACTATAACAGGTTCACTATAACAGGTTCAATTTAACATGTTCATTATAACAGGTTCACTATAACAGGTTCACTATAACAGGTTCAATTTATCATGTTCATTATAACAGGTTCACTATAACAGGTTCACTATAACAGGTTCACTATAACAGGTTCGCTATAACATGTTCATTATAACAGGTTCCCTATAACAGGTTCACTATAACAGGTTCAATTTAGCATGTTCATAATAACATGTTCACTATAACAGGTTCACTATAACAGGTTCAATTTAACATGTTCATTATAACAGGTTCGCTATAACAGGTTCACTATAACAGGTTCACTACAACATGTTCACTATAACAGGTTCAATTTAATATGTTCATAATAACATGTTCACTATAACAGGTTCACTATAAAAGGTTCAATTTAACATGTTCATTATAACAGGTTCACTATAACAGGTTCACTATAACAGGTTCACTATAACAGGTTCAATTTAACATGTTCATTATAATAGGTTCACTATAACAGGTTCACTATAACAGGTTGAATTTAACATGTTCACTATAACAGGTTCACTATAACAGGTTCAATTTAACATGTTCATTATAACAGGTTCACTATAACAGGTTTACTATAACAGGTTCAATTTAACATGTTCATTATAACAGGTTCACTTCATTATAACAGGTTCATTATAACAGGTTCACTATAACAGGTTCACTATAACAGGTTCAATTTAACATGTTCATTATAACAGGTTCACTATAACAGGTTCACTATAACACGTTCACTATAACAGGTTCACTATAACAGGTTCACTATAACAGGTTCACTATAACAGGTTCAATTTAACATGTTCATTATAACAGGTTCACTAAACAGGTTCACTATAACAGGTTCAATTTAACATGTTCATTATAACAGGTTCACTATAACAGGTTCACTATAACAGGTTCACTATAACATGTTCATTATAACAGGTTCAATATAACAGGTTCACTATAACAGGTTCACTATAAAAGGTTCAATTTAACATGTTCATTATAACAGGTTCACTATAACAGGTTTACTATAACAGGTTCACTATAACAGGTTCAATTTAACATGTTCATTATAATAGGTTCACTATAACGGGTTCACTATAACAGGTTCACTATAACATGTTCATTATAACAGGTTCACTATAACAGGTTCACTATAACAGGTTCACTATAAAAGGTTCAATTTAACATGTTCATTATAACAGGTTCACTATAACAGGTTCACTATAACAGGTTCACTATAACAGGTTCAATTTAACATGTTCATTATAATAGGTTCACTAAAACAGGTTCACTATAACAGGTTCAATTTAACATGTTCATTTTAATAGGTTCACTATAACAGGTTCACTATAACAGCCTCTTACTACATTATTTCTTACACCTCAAAATCTGAGTCTTGTGGTCTGGTTCTACGCTGTTACTGGTATTATAAAATGAGTTCACGCATCAATAATAACCTTCGAGAACGGCGGCAAGTTATGAAGGTCAACCAGGAGAGAAGTCGTCCTCTGCCACCATCGATGTCCCGCATGAGGGCACAATGGGTCGAGGAGACGGTGTCAGAGACGGTGAAGGCAGATAACTGCCTCTTTGGGGTCATTATTGGCCCCGGAGGCTCCACTATAAAGGAGCTACAGGTAAAATACAACATCCGGGTGCTTGTCCCTCGCAAGGGGTCAAAGGATGAGCCCATCACAGTCCAAGGGAAAGACAAAACTCTCGTCAAGAACGCTGTCCTCCGCATAAAGGCTTTGATAGCTGAAGAGAAGGAGAGGCGTCGGGTCACCACACCAGTATCCCAAACACTCTGCATCCCCAAGGCCCTACACGGGAAGGTTATCGGTCTTCAGGGCCAAAATATCCGACCCATTACTCAAGCGCTCAAAATAAAGATACAATTTCCCAATAAAAACGACAATAGTGATGAAGTGACCCTCACAGGCCTTCCTGATCAGGTGGACCAGGGCATAAGTCGCCTCCTCAACTTGGTGACCCGCTTCCCCCCATGTCGGGCCTGAGGTCAGAAGGCCGGACCAGACTCCTCCCACCCACACCCACCACCCAGCCTTTAAAAATAATAATAAAAAAAAAAAAAAAAAAAAAAAAAAAAAAAAAAAAAAAAAAAAAAATGGACCCTCTCACCACTGGCCTCCACGCGGCAGGGTCTGGAAACTCAGGGATTTATCTCTGGGGCTAACAGTGGTTTATTATTATTATTATTATTATTATTATTATTATTATTATTATTATTATTATTACTTACACACACACACACACACACATTGAGACAAGACACTAATTACCAAGAGGAGGAGGAAGATGGAGTGTGGAGGGAGGGGGGTGATGGAGGGAGGGAGTGATGGAGGGAGGGGGGTGATGGAGGGAGGGGTTGATGGAGGGAGGGGGTGATGGAGGGAGGGGTGATGGAGGGAGGGGTAGGACGAGGAGAGGAAAAAGGTGGGTTGAAGTCGATGCCCCACCAAAAAAAATAAAAAATTTGAGGGCGTAATCCTTGGTGTTCTTTTTTTGTAGAGAGAGAGAGAGACAGAGAGAGAGAGAGAGAGAGAGCAAACGAGGGGTAGGATGGGCAAGGTGAAGGGGGAAATGGAGAAAGGGGGATTTGGGTGATTTGTGAGGGTGAAGGAGAACATAAGAAAATAAGGAGTCTGCAATAGGCCGGTTGGCCTGTGCATGGCAGCTCCTGTCGAGAGTTACTACCACTCTCTATCATCCATGAATCTATCTAGCCTCCTTTTGAAACTTTCCAGCGTTCCAGCACTTACTACAAAGTTGCTAAGCTTGTTCCACTCGTCCACCACCCTATTTGTGAACCAGTTCCTTCCTATCTCCCTCCTAAACCTAAACTTATCCAACTTGAATCCGTTGCTCCGAGTCCTATCCTGCTCGGATATTATAAGAACTTTATCTATATCACCTTTATTGATTCCTTTCACCCACTTAAATACTTCTATCATATCTCCCCGCACTCTTCGTCTTTCTAGGGAATGCAAGTTAAGTTTCTTTAACCTATCCTGATATGGAAGGTTTCTAAGTCCCCGGAATCATTTTCGTCATTCTTCGCTGCACCGACTCTAGTGAATTGATATCCATTCTATAATAAGGGCACCAGAACTGAACCGCATAATCGAGGTGCGGCCTGACTAGCGCAAGATATAGTTGCAATAAGACCTCTGCACTCTTGTTTACACTTCTAGATATAAAACCCAATACTCTGCCTTATTTCGAACATTAACGCACTGTTTTCTAGGCCGTAGGTCCGGGCTTACAAGTACCCCTAGGTCTCTTTCACAAGTCGACTTCTCTAGGTTGATGTTAAGGCTGTATACATTATCAGTATTTGTTCTTCCAATATTAAGTACGCTGCACTTGCTGGTGTTGAATTTCATTTGCCATTTTTCAGACCACCCCTGCAGTTTATTTAGATCCTCCTGTAATGCATTTGCATCCTGCCCTGAATGGCTCTCGTATACTGAGCGTCATGATGAGTACAGATGTAAAACTCGGGGCAAGAAATACACTAGCGACCAAAGTAAATTTAAACTGTATTAATCAGAATTAAAGTTCATCAATTCTAAAATATGTTTACAGGTAAAATAAACACAACCTAAGCCGCTCTTTGACTTACTTAACAGAATATGTTTTGTTTTTTTATAATACAATAAGTGAGTTTTTTCTCTCAGTCTCCAACAATATCGTATTTCGTTGCCTAAATTGTTATGGCTTTATCGCTTTGATCAGGTGATGTTTACGTTCCACTTTTATTGTGTTATAGTTTTCCAATACGAGTTTCATGTCCAGTGTTTTTGTAATGTCATTTAGTTGGTTTTTGGGACAAATATTTCTTACCATAGCAACATTTTGTCCTGCGTGTACTGCTTAATGCCATTGACGTCAACTGTTCAATATAACATTTTCACTTGATATTCTCTCTCTCTCTCTCTCTCTCTCTCTCTCTCTCTCTCTCTCTCTTTTGTCTAGCCTCCAGCCTGACAGAAAGCTGTTTTGTTAGCAGTAATGACGATGTCTGAACATTTACAGTAAAGTACAACACTTGAGGTGCTGAGGACTGTATGTGACAAGACTTGTATTGTCGACAACAGATATATTATTACGTCACGTGAGAGTTGTTTCCTTTTAACATGGGGAGTAAACCTCACAAGTTGCTCCACACGAAGACTTATATTTGCCGGGGAAGAGTTTCACTGAGCCTTGTACTCAACAGTGAAAGAATTATTACTAAAATTGTCTGACCTCATAGAGCTTGAGCTTGAAGCTGCTCTCCTTCAAGCTTCACTGAACATGAATGATGTTCGAGCGGCTCCTGAGATCTTATCATTCGACTGAGAAATTCTGAAAATATCTCAGACTTTACTGAAAGTGTTGATGTAGACTACAGGGCGCTGAGACTCCTGCCCTGTAGAGTGTGGAGGACTGAGGGTGACTACAGGGTGCTGAGACTCCTGCCCTGTAGAGTGTGGAGGACTGAGGGTGACTACAGGGTGCTGAGACTCCTGGCCTGTAGAGTGTGTAGGACTGAGGGTGACTACAGGGTGCTGAGACTCCTGCCCTGTAGAGTGTGGAGGACTGAGGGTGACTACAGGGTGCTGAGACTCCTGCCCTGTAGAGTGTGGAGGACTGAGGGTGACTACAGGGTGCTGAGACTCCTGGCCTGTAGAGTGTGTAGGACTGAGGGTGACTACAGGGTGCTGAGACTCCTGCCCTGTAGAGTGTGGAGGACTGAGGGTGACTACTGGGTGCTGAGACTCCTGCCCTGTAGAGTGTGTAGGACTGAGGGTGACTACAGGGTGCTGAGACTCCTGGCCTGTAGAGTGTGTAGGACTGAAGGTGACTACAGGGTGCTGAGACCCCTGCCCTGTAGAGTGTGGAGGACTGAGGGTGACTACAGGGTGCTGAGACTCCTGCCCTGTAGAGTGTGGAGGACTGAGGGTGACTACAGGGTGCTGAGACTCCTTCATTGGTGATAAAAGCTTTATTCTAACCTAACCTAAGCTAACCTAACCTAACCTCACCTCACCTCGGTTTTTCACACCACCTAATTGCACTGAGGACGTACACATGGGGAGGCAACCAAGGCTAACTCGTCCTCCCAGCACTAGCGGAAACCAATAATGCTGCAAGTAATCTTCTACAACAACGATTTATCTCAACAGTTGTGGTAAGCTGTGAGTGTTTATAGTTGAGGCGTTAAGGGTATTGTGGCGCCTCCTCACCTGTGCTAGTGGCGTTACCAAGCATGAAGGTGGCGCGCAGTTAGTGGTCACGGTGGTGCGCTTTCCATGGATGTTGTGGAAATGTGTTGTGAGAACGTCTTTAGCACGTAGTATATATGGTAATGTTTCGTGTTTAAAGTGGCGCTAATGGTGTATACTGTGTGGTAAGGCCTTTTGCTTATTGTGGCGTTTATAACCTACTCTATATGATAATACCTTGAGTTTATTGTGGTGTTGTGTCTGTTTATAGAGGAGCCTTAATCTTGTGAAAATGAACATGGGTCCTGTAGGCCTGATGGCACATTAGGAACAGCCTGGATACAGTGCACATAATACTTCCAGCCTTCAGGACACAGGCTGTGAAGTTAGGATTAGCTAAGAAGTTACCCGGAATTGAACCATCGATCCTTAGGACAGGCGGGGAGAGTTTTATCCACTTGTCCTGTATAGTAAAGAAATGGCTTTTATATTAACGTTTATTGCCTATGTTTATATTATGTGAAGTGCCCATGTGCTATATAATCTTGACTTATATAAAAGCAGCTCTCTCTCTCTCTCTCTCTCTCTCTCTCTCTCTCTCTCCTCGCCAGACGTGTGGGTGAACTGCCTCGCTCTTCGTGGAAAATCTTTACCATGGCTATTTTTACGCCCTGTTGACTTCCTGAGATGAGTATTATATTATTGTAATAATAATAATAATAATAATAATAATAATTAACGGTTTATTGAAAGAGCTTGGCAGCCAGAAGGCTGAAAATATACAGTTACATATTTGGGGAATGGGTTACGAATTACAAATAATATACAAGTGACATAAGTGACACAAATAAGACATATAGTAACTTAGATGGGGATCAGCTCAAGCTACAGTTCATTTCAACATAGTGACAGTGTAGGGAGCAGTGTTTACTGGGAGTGAATACACTGATTTATTACATGTTATTGATAATTTTTACAATGGTTGGGACTGGGCTGTTCTTATAGCGATCAGTTCGTGCACATATGGGCTGGATGCGGTTGTGGTGTCGAACAGCAATTCTCGGACAGGGGATCTCAGGTAGGAGTAGGGGCCGGTGTCGGGGATGGTGTAGAAGCTTCTTACCAAATTTGCAGATGAGGCCGTGGTGATGGTCAGTGAGAGTCGAAAGGGTCAGTGTGTTGAGCGCTTCCTGATATGTGGAGTAGGATGGGGAGAGAATAATCTTGCATGCCCTCTTTTGCACTTTTTCTAGGTGTTTACGTTGTGTGGCATTTCGGGAGGAAGACCAGGTGGGGGAGGCAAAGGTGAGCTTGGGAAGTATGAATGTTGTGTATACACTGAGGAGCTCGTGTGCGGGAACTCCGAGGGACTTGAGTCAGCGGAGGAGGTGGAGACGGAAACTGGAGGATTTGACAACTTCACTGACGTGTGGTTTCCAATTTAGTTTGTTGTCTATGGTGACGCCGAGGAGCTTCGTGGAATCTACAACCTGGAGTGTGTTCGGACCTAGGGTAATGGAAGGAGGTGGGACAATGTCGGAGGAGAGGTTGATGTGCATAACCATGGTCTTGGTATGGTTGATGGTGACATGGTTGTTGGTGGCCCAGTTTTGGAGACTGGTCAATAAATCCTGAAGGGCGGTATAGTTGGGAGCAGAATTGTTGACGCTGATCCCAATGGTGGAGTCGTCGACATATTTCCAGCGAGCAGGGGTTTCTCTTAGGGCATCATTGATGAGCATAAGGAAGCAGAGTGGTCCCATCTTGGTGCCTTGGGGGACGCCACAGGTGAGTGACTGAAAGGTGGAGACAGCCCCTCGGAAGCGTACAGCTTGGCGTCGGTCACTGAGGAAGTCTGTAAGCCATGGTATGAGACTTCTCCGAAGCCCGAGGTCAATAGCTTTGTTTATGATTATATTGTGGTCGACTAGGTCGAACGCTTTAGTGAAATCAATGAAGGCGACAGCTACAGACGTTTTTCGTTTCTCGAGATGGCGGTATATGTAATCAAGAAAGCTGACAAGACAGTGAGTGGTGGAGGAAGTTTTCATGTTGCCAAATTGCTGAGGGTCTACGATTCCTGCAATATCAGCATAAGCCCAGTCAAACACAAAACTTTCACAGATTAGGCTGGGTATTGGGGTGATTGCAATGGGTCGTAGCTGATTTAAGGATTGTGGGCTGGTTGACTTGGGCACTGGTGATACATAAGAGGTCTTCCAGTCAGCTGGGCATCTGGCTTGACTGAGAGAAGCATTGATGATGGAGCAGAGGGGTTTAGCAAGCTCCAGGGAGAACTCCTTGAATAGTTTCATTGGTAAGTCAATGGGGGTGGTAGAGCGTTTTAATTTTAGTTTGTCCAGGCGTTTTGCTACGTCAAATTCCTCTACTAAGTCAGTGGGAAGGGGGGCTGGTAGGTAAGCAGGGAGAGTGGTTGTGTCAAGCCGTGGGAGCGTCTGGCATATAGTAGCGAAATGGTTATTTGTTTGCTCAGCTGCGTCAACATTAGTGAGATGGCTAAGGAAGGGGAAGGGGTGTGTCATATTGTTTAGTCCACAGAGTTCTTTAAGCTTACCATACCATTGACTGATGTTGGTCTGCTTCAGGTGTTGTAATTTGGTTGGGTAGTGGGACTTCTTTGCAGTGCGTATTTCGCGGATGACTCTGTTGCGAAGTGACCTGTAGCGGATGTGGTCATTGAGATGAAAGGCTCTGTCTCTCTGTTGCATAAGTCTTTTGATCGGAGGTGTGATCCAGGGCAAGTCAGCTGGGTGAGATCTGACGGACTTCTCGGGGAAGAAGTGGTGGTGAGCTTCGGTGGTGGTGTTGGTATAATTTATCCATTTGGTTTCCACGTCATCCACGCTGAGTACTTCAGTCCAGGGATAGTGAACTATCCACTGTCCAAAGAGGCGTACTGCAGAGTCAGTAACTGCAGAGTCAGTAATCGGCCTGTAGGTCTTGATGTAGGGTCTCTGTACTTGAGTGGGAGTGGCAGCAGGGAACCAGAGCACTGATAAGTGTGTGCTACACCCGATAGGAGGCAGTGGTTGAGGAGGTTGGTACTGGTCCGCTAAGTCAGTTAAGATAAGGTCAAGGGTGTTTTGACCGTGTGTGGGGAAGGTCACAACTTGTGATAGTGATAGCTGGTCCTGGATATCAGTGGTGTCAATTTCATTTAAATCCCCACATAATACTAACTTGGCACATGGGTACCTAACTCTGAGGTGGTCTGAGGTGGTGATGAGATGATTGATAAGAGTGTCTCTGGTGGGTGATCGAGGCGGATGGTATGCCACACAGATTATGATGGAAGCAGTGTTGCGTGGGTGTGCCCGCAGCACGACACGTACCCATAATGCTTCCACATCTGCTGGGACTTGAACATCCAGGCGTGACGGGCGTAGGTCATCTTGACAGAAAAGGGCAACGGCCCCTCCGCGTCTTTGTGGACGAAGGTGATGAAAGAGTTGATATCCCTCAATGTGACACGTTTCAGGTACAATTTGCCAAGTCTCACATATGGCAACCACGCGCGCGGCGGTTGACCTGACTGTAGTTGCCAGCTCGTCGAACTTGTTAGCTAGGGAAGTGACGTTGGATAGCAGTAAAGACGGGAGATCATACCATATCCGTGGAACTTCAGTGTGGTGGTATGGTCTGTCAGGGGTGGGTTTCTCCGGTTTCCTAGTGGAGGTTACGGTTCTAATGGGCTTATGTGCTTGACGGCCTTGTCTACGGCTCCGCGCGTGGAATATTTTCAGTGACTTGAGTAGCGCGATAACACTCCCATCAGGATAACCGTTCCCACGCTTTAGATGATACAGAGTGCGTCGGGAGTAAGTGATTGGTGGCCATCAGTTGAAATCTGTTGTGGGCGGACGGAAGTGTTTGTCACTGGCGGCACTTTGAGGGACACTGACACTGGTTGACATCTGTTAATGTTTGTCAGTTGTAAAGACCGTGGACTTTGTCCTCGGTGCTTGGGGTCGCCGACACAGTTTTCACGATATATGTAAGCACCGCGGTGGTCCTTGTCACTGGCACTTTAAAGTTGACCGATAAAGTGCCCACTGTCTGACTTTTCCTTGGGGTGCACTATCGAGCACTGTATGGTAATCACTTATTGCACTGATGGCTAGAATGTTTTGCCGAGAAAGTTCCTTAGGTGCACTATAGGAACACTGCTCCGTAATCATTCGTTCACTAATCACTAGAATGTTTTGCTGAATCGATCCTGGTGTAGTAAGGCTGGTAGGGCGTTGGGGTATAGCAGGGGGAGTGGGCAGGGCCAAACAGATTCGGCCTGGCTGCTAAAACCGAGAGCGCCTTCAGGCACGTCTTATCTCACTGAGGGTTGACAAGTGTGTTTATCCGAGTCTATATTTGTTATTAGTTATTTCCGTGTGTTAGTGTATGGTAGTTCCAGCGAGTGCGGGTCTTGAGTCGTCTTTCATAGCTTTGTTCCGTCTTTCTTGTGAGTGTTTGTCTGTATGACTGTTTATAAGTCTGTACTTTGAGTGTGTCTTTGTGTTGCTCTGTAAGCCTGTGTATCTGTGAGCCTCTCCATCAGTGAGTCTTTGAGTATTTATATTTACCTTTGTGAGTCGGTGTGTTTCTGAATCCATCTCAATGGCGGCGTTAATGGGAATACCTCCCTCACCCCTCCTAGCATCCCTTCCTCACCCCTCCTAGCATCCCTTCCTCAACCCTCCCAGCATCCCTTCCTCACCCCTCCCAGTATCCCTTCCTCACCCCTCCTAGCA